GCGGCTGTTACGACTCGGAGACGCGGTGGCCGAATGCTGCTGCCTCTTCGCCACGTACGGCTACAGCACGTACTGGCCGGTGAGCGTTGTCGTGTACTAAAGTAGACTAGAGTCGGCTACGTCGCTGACTCACAGCCTAGAGGTGGGTGTGGATATCGGATGATTATTCCGAGACACTAATCAGGGACACAGTCCGTCGTAAATCTGCGCTGGGTACAAGCCCACGACGTCTACGGTGCATACCAACAAGAGAATCTCTTACGGCAACGAGAGCGTACATTGTGTTCTTTGCTATGCTCGAGTAACTATGCGACGGAGGAGACGACGAATTCTGCTATAGAACCACAGCTGGCAGACCTACTCGACGATCCACCGCATGAGCAACCGCTCGACAGTGTGCACACGTAGTGGAACCGTGGGGGCTGCTGGCTCTGTTCCTGAGGCACGTGTCATAGCAGCCGGTGTTTGTCGCCAAAGCTGCTGAGCATATTTGAACCAGGCAAATCGGCAGTGGAAACTGGCTACGTTGTACCAAGCCGGTAGCATACGAAGAGTGTGAATGGGGCGCGGCATATGGTCCTCTGCTTGACGACGACAAACGATTGCTGACTGAGCGTGAATTTCGTCGATAGGTAGAGGGGAAACAACGTGAAGAACGCCTGGGCCTTCGACAACATTGCTATGGAATGTTAGCTATGGGAGCAACGAGTAGTGATAATAGCTGGGCTGGGATATGCGACGAGCCCTATGCCATCCGAAAACGAATCGTGGCATGCGAGAAGGCGCGCTTGTACCGCAAGGAGCGATTCCATTCGTTCTGGCCAATTGTACCCGGAGAGTTGTGCATTGCTCACACAAAACGACGAGAGCGGAGGCTTCGCCTGCGCGTTATACACATCTATGCTCCATGTTTTGTCGGAGAATCTGGCCAAAGACAGTATCCGAATGTCGTATGGTGGTAATCGGGCTGCCGGGTGCTGGTGCAGAGGGCCACTGAACGAGCGGCTGTATCTAAGAAATTTGATCAGTACTCGGCACAGCAACGGACAAGCAGATTGAGCTTCTGTTTGACGAGGCTCTTCGTCTGCTTAGTCTGTGGGCAAAGCAGATATCACTATGCTGATGTTACATGTACGAGCGGCATGATCAACTCGCACCTTTGCTGTGAGATGCTCCAGCGATATTGGAAGGTTTCAACGAATGTAGTCAGATTGTCTCGGCAATAGGCTATTCACATCACTTCATCATGTTGGTGTAGAAAGAAGTCGCCGTTCGGCCTTTAATATTCTAATAACCATCACTTACATAAGCCCACTTCGACGCCACAATGGTCAAAGGCTCTGCACAGGCGTCCTTTTGTTCGGTCGTCGTCAGGATGGATGCAGGGAAGCGATACAGCTCGAACTGAAGCTGAGCGCTGAGCGCTAATGTTTAGGATTCCGGGATGCATTGCCACTCGAAGTGCAGCCTCTGCGAATCCTATCTTTGCTAAAAACAAGGCGTCGTCTGTGTTATGACCAAACCTGTGCATTGGCGGGGCAGGAGACATTAGACATGGCAAGCGTCAGAGTAACAAATCAACAACGACACAACAATGTGACACGACGAACTGATTGACTGAAAACCGGAAAGCCTCCTGGACTGTCTCATTATAGATGAAAATTAAGCAGCCCACTTCTTCCACTCACTGCCCTCAGGGGGCTTCACCTCGACGGGAGCCTTCTTGACTTCCTCCCAGTTTGTACTGAGAGTCGTTCCACCACTCTCGACGTAGCTCTTCAACATGGCGCGCTTAGTATCCTCGTCGGAATCGGAAAAGATCTTCTGAAAGAACTCATTGACGGTGGCATCACCACCAACATTCGGGTCCTCGTCACTGGTCAGCGGCTTGTCTTTCTCGAGGATGGTGTTGGTGATGCCGTCCCAGTTCTTGCGCTCCCTGGCTTTCGTAGTGGCAGCCGTGGGAGTAGGTGCAGCGGGGGCAGGAATGTTGGCAAGGACTGGTCAAAGTTGGTTAACCGTCAAGTATGCGTAGCATATACCGCTCACCATCCGGACTGTCACCCACGAGCGCACCCCATCTCCCGAGAACGATCTTGTGCAGCCGAATCTCAATCTTGACCTTTCCCACAGTGTACTCGCTCTTTTCAGGGTCGATCGTGCCCTTTAAAGGCTCCAGAACCAGCTGCTTCTCGCCATTCTGGTAGATCAACTAGTGCGCCACAGGTGATTAGTGCGTCGGTCGAGGCACTAGCATAGGCATTTCGTACGCTTCGCGGCTGGAACTTGACTGACACCTGGGCGGGATCCGCGCCCTTGTCGAACACCGAGATAGTGAGCCTCTCGTCGGTCTCGTAGAACTCGTGTCTATTACAACAGCGATCAGCCAGACGCGATCAAGACAACGAAGGCGACCTGTACCTCAAGGACGACATATTTCAATGGCTCAGAAGAGATTGAAGTGCAGAGGGAGTGCGGTAAGATTGGAAACTGTGCCACTGCTCAGCCCGCAGACTACCGCGTTTAGAGAGGGTACATTTCGCTTGTCGAGGGACAAGCTGCGAAGATTCTAGTAACATGGCCACGCGGGTGTCACGCAGCACCGCCGAGCGCTGTGACATATGGTTACTCGTGACAAAATGCGGAGGGAAACACTTGATTACGATCGACGTCATGGACGGCTGCGAAACAAACAGCTTGCGGACCTAGACCAGCATAGAGTCTCTCTCCAAGCCGCATCGTCTGCACACACTACTCGTACAGAATGTCGTCCGCACCGCCCGTTCCCAAGGCGTCCCTCTACTTCTACAAACAGTCTGTCTGGGCGTCCGTCCGTAAGTGCACTACATTTCCCGCCGCTCGCCAAGGTAGCTTATTCCCCATAAAGCGCTGCTCGCGCTGTAGGTGATCGTCTCCGATCGCGGCCAAGCGCGTTGCTAACCGTGTCTGATTCACAGAGAAGAGAAAGGATACGGTACAGATGAAATAGATCTGAAGGAGGTCGATCTCTGTGCGTGTTGCAGTGGTCTCACCGGGGACTGCCATGGCTGACACTTGTGCGTAGCAAAGGGCGAGAACTTTACTCCCGCTTATCTGCGAATCAATAACAATGGCTAGCCTTACGCTAATATGCTCTACGTCTTCATATTGACAATGTCTGTATTATAGCGACGGTGCCGACATTGGTCGTGCCACTTGAGAACACGCTAGACCCTGAAATTGAGAGCCGTTACAAACCTCTTAGGGACACCAAGGTGCGGTGACCCATCTATCCCCGTATGGATAGAAATGCTCAAGCAGCTGTCCTCATCATAGTCTATCGTTGAATTCTTGGATAAGTCTCGCTCACTTCAGTCTCGTACGCACAGCACATCCACCGCCCCTGCCCCATCACTGGCGCCCGCTACCATTGCCTTCTCTTCCGCATCGAACAAGATCATCGAGCTTTTGCATTCCGAGGCAGGAGACCCCAACGCTCTCATGTTCATGAATGCGCAGGACGATGAACAGCTGGAGAGGCTTACTGAGTCGCTCAAACCAATCCTTATCGCGAAATGCGATGCACTTGACAAGCTCATTGAAGAGAACAAGCATGCAGAGGTTAAGGTATCTGAGAAGACAGCGAGGTTCTGGGAGATGAAACGCGTTGCGACAAGCATGATTCTCGATGTCCTTGAGGATGGCGAGAAGCCTACATCGGAAGTAGATGACGAAGCAAAGGGAAAACGCGGAGAGTACTTCAAGGCCGCAGCGCAGGCATGGGGAGGCCTGCAGGAGGTGCTCGTTCAACTTTCCAAAGAGATAATAGGGCCATATGCGCTCGGTACGTTACGTTCTCTCATGCACGACTGCGCAGTCTGAACAAGCGTCAGGCGACCAATTATCGATCGCCGATCTTCATCTTGCTGCCTGGCTTGCCCGTATTGCCATGCTGTCCGGTGCGCAGACTACCGATGACGGCGGCGCGGTTATATCGAAGATTGAGGAGCACGTTGGAGAATCCTTCAGTTTGCCGAAGGACTTTTCCGTCGCGGAAGCCAGGAGGCGCGCAGGTCTGCCTGCCTCGAACGTCCCGCCCACGGAACGTCAGGCTCGCCTCGCTGCGTTCTGGGACGCTGTTAAGGAACGGCCCAGCTGGAAGAAGGTCTATGCGGATGGTCTGCATTAGTCGGCCTCCAGGTTGGTTTGGACCATTGAATAGGAATAATGGGCGTGAAGATACAACACAATACATATCATACCTGCGCACTTTGCCGCCGAGCCTAGGTTTGCTCATGTGCAGCAAGGCGCCTCAGCGGTGTTCGGACCCGGTGGTACTGGGACATGTGGCCTGACAACCCTTTGGGCCCTTGGGCGGCGCAGCCATCTGGAACTGCTTTGATCGTGAACAGTCGCTGTATCGCAGGAGATGCCTCTACGTAGACCAGCTTGTTGAAGCCAAATTGCCGAGACTTTGCTTTGGAGGATATATACAGCTGCAGTACTGTACAACGAAATTTTGCTCATTTTGAGCGCTACGGGTAGAATGCGATCAGATATGGCTGCGCACAGTCGGTGAACGTGAACTCTGGTCCTTCGCTGAATAACTGACGAAGCTTGGAGATTGAATAAGCACAGTGCGGTGGGAGAGGAAGAGCAAGACCGCGACGTGGAGTGACGAGAGTATCCGCTAGCACTTGCTATCCATCAGCGTCTTTGCAGACGTTCACAGCCCCGTCACCTTAAGCTTCTTTCTTATTTCCACCACTCTCCTTCGCGGACGCACTGTCCTAATCTTTCGTTTATATTTTTCAACTACGCCCCGCAACGACTAGCTCTTGTCCTGCCTGCCCGGCCCTCATTTGGCCCAGGCGATGAGCTACACGTCCGACTACAACTCGCGACCGACTATTCAAGCGGATGACTGCGGGAACTCCACGAGCCCCCATAGAGACAGTCTGGATGCTACCCGCAACCTCGCTAATCGGACTCCATTCTACGCCTCTTCTTCCAATTCGTCCACTGAGATGAACGCCCGCCTTGCTGAACGAACGTCCTCAAATGCCGCCTTGATATATCCTCTGGCGGTGAACAAGTCGAACATGTCTATCTGCTCCACAGCTACCGCGACTTCGGTACCGTCACGCGCGGCGTCACCGCTTTACCTGCAGGACGACACCGGCTCGACTTGTTCCTCAGACAGTGACGAGAACGAGCTGGAATCGAGACTCCTTCCCGATTCGCACCGACGCAGCTTTTCTTTTACCAGTGCACCCCGGTGGTCCGCAGGTGGTCCGTTCAGGCGACGACGGAGAGGCAGATGGGAGCGTGGGTCGTGGAGGTGGGCGTTCAGGAAATATGTCCTACCGTTCATACCCAAGACACCGCTAACTATAGTACGTGCGCTTTGCCCTCCCGGTCTGCTTTGCTGTAACTGAGCCTTGACTGCTGCTAGCTATTCACGCTGCTTCTATTGACTGCCTTCGCAATATCCCTGGCTCACTTGATCATATACTCCTTAAATCCGGATAAACAGGCACTACCATGGCGCGGATACTGCACAATACCCAACTTTTCCACGGAACCTCCACCAACACACCTGGGCCCATACGACTCTTTCCCAATACTCCCACCAAATGGCACTTTCGAGCCTATATCTTTTCCACCAGACAACCTGGAAACCCTTTCGCCCGCTGGAGTATTTATCGGTGTTTTCAGCATGGACACTGGCTTCGAGCGTCGGTCGCTTATCCGGTCGACATATGCCAGTCATCCGCGCAGCAGGAACGGCGCAGGAGATGGAGACGGTGGCGTTGGTACATCGCGCACGGTGGTGAGGTTCGTCATGGGAAAACCTCGCAAAGAATGGGAGCGTAGGATCCAGCTTGAGCAGGAAGGTGAGTATCCCGTCATTTGCGTCTGACGAGCTTCTCACCGTGCGTGTAGCCTACAATGATATTGTTATTCTTCCAATAAGGGAGAATATGAACGATGGAAAGACACAAGCCTTCTTCCAATGGGCGGCGGCCGGTGCTTGGGTTCCACCTCTCTACTTCGACAACTACACCACAGTCCCGCAAAACCTTTCCTATACCAACCGAACAGCACCCGCCCCTCGCCTGAGTCAGCATGATCCTATCCATGCACACCAGGATATGCTCACGGGGAATCCAAAGCCTTGGGTACGGCCTGACTTCATCATAAAGGCTGACGATGATTCTTTCGTCATGCTGGCCGAATTGGAGGCACGTCTCCGCGTGGAGTTGCACGGCGGACCTTTACCTCGTCAGTACACCGTGCCGCCTGCCCCTCTACTAGTTGCTCCTCCAGTAACGCCGGGTCAATCGACTGTCTACCACCCACCAAACGATGACCCTCTGATATACTGGGGCTATCTGGTGAAGAACCGCTTCATGGCAGGAGAGCTATATGCACTCAGTCATAGCCTCGTCGACTGGATAGCCAATGACCCGACTGTCCGCGACTACGTGAGGGGTGCCGAGGACCAGATTACCGCTTTCTGGATCAGATGGCATCCTCGCGCACAAGATGTTCGATGGATCCGGGAGAGGTGCACGGTCTATGACCATCCAAAGTCGGGGACAGTGTATGGAGATTCTCGCTTGCTCTTTATAGACCTGTATCGAGGCACTGACATGAACTTCGCAGGTACGCGCGAGGTTTCTTCTTCCCATCGGAGGCAGAGCGCGTGCAGAAGGAAATAATGTACGATCTTGACCGGTGGAACAAGGCGAAAGAGGACGCGCTCAGGATACAGAGCGAACCAGAAGGCTACGTTGAAGTGTTTGGCCCTCGTGGTGTCACACCGCCGTCATGGGTACTGTCTACCGTCACCGCGTTCCGTGTCCGATATGCACCACCGGTGCCGGATCTGCCTTCCAACTACAGTCTTGAGGCACTCGTGGAAGGGTCGGAGATGTCCAGACTAAGAAAAAGTACGTAGCCGTTGCTTATTGTATACTAGTACGGATAGCTAACTCGCCTTCTAGACAATGCCACCATGGCTGACGAGGTCTGGCGGAATCGCGAAGGAAGGGCGAGGCAATACCGAGGGAAGCGTGTCGGCGGCACGACTGTGATCCATTCCATCAAGAAACATATGTGGTTCCTTGAGGCCGCCGTGGCGCTTCTAGAGGGAGACGAATACACAGAAGCCGAGCTCGCCGCACAAGCGTCATAACACCTGAGCCGCCTAGGTCTCTACCTACCATGTTAAATTCTTGTATTCACCTCTTACTAGCCAGCTCGTCACTCATCACCTGAGAACAACTTCTGCTGGTTGGTGAGCACAACTGCTTTTTCTCGTCCACATCCACACGCATTACAACCGGTCACACTATCCACTATCTATTCGTTTTCGTAATCTGGACACTTGTCTCGGACATCTGTGTGCCATTGGTTGCATAGACCTTCGCTCTCACAGCTGCGCTCTTGTCAAATTGTTAATTGTCTTGTAAAAGAAATCAATTCCTGCCTCCATGAATTGAATGCTGAACAGGCTGTGACCAGACTCCTGACCCGTCCCCCGTGGGTGCTTGCAGCGTCCTCGCCAGGTGTTTTTACCAGGAAGCGCCCAAGTTTGCGTATGAGTCAGCAATATTATGTAGTTTCGCGAGGACGCTGTACACCCACGGGGGACTGGCACTAAACATTAGTAAACAAAGCTCTCTCCATCAGCGGGGCTTAAATTTACAGAGAAATACTTCGAAATTCCGAAATGCCTGAGCGCGCGACTGCTTCAAATTTGCCAAGGTATGAATATAGTCAAACCACTTGTGACTGTCATACTCCCTTTCATGTTATTACTAACCCTCTTCTTGGTATGCGGCTTGTCATGATGCAGCCGGGCAGAAAAGCGAGACTGAAGCCTGAAAACGAAGTTCGGCGGACACAGGCAAGACAGCAGACTCTGATGCCAAGCCGCTCACCAATGCTCCGGAAGTGCACTGATGGTGTCTTTGTCTCAATCCTCTCGTACATGAAAGTCTTCGGCTCGGGACGCTGGTAAGCCTGAGTGCAACCACGGCAGTACTGACGGTCTTGGAGATGTCATCTCATGACTTCATGACTTGAAGGGCTCGTTGTGACCGATGCGAAGTAGTGCAGTAACGGTGTCACGGTGTCGAGACCCTTAGTCGCCGCTCGATGCTCGGCGGATTTTCCTATTCTTAGTAGTACACTCCTGGGCGACCGTTGAGGAGGGAGATTCGGCTTGCGTGGGTCGACGTCGGTACGATGGGACTAGACGATAGCTGAGGAAGGGGTGTTGGAGTGACAGAGGAGGGGATACAGTCGTCGAGGGAAAAGGAACTTGAACGCGTGAGCAGCGATCTCTGGTTACAGAGACGCCGCGAGAGCCAAAAACCTACAACCTGATACTTAAGCTAATATACCACTCCACTGAACTTACTATTTGTGCTTGTGCCCGCGCTCTCGCGGGCGATTCTATACTAAACTCAAAGGCGGGCGGAGGCGACAGCTCACGCGCGGTGGGGGGGGAATTCTGAGGGAAAGCGGGACTTGCTCCATTCGAAGGTGGGAGGTCACCTTTATAATACATGACAAAACCGTCACTCCGCTGCCGTGCTCTCGGCCGGAGTGCCCCTAAAGAAGAAGAGTGGGAAACGTCGTGAAAAGAGACCAAAGGAGGACGAAGAAGTGTTCTGTAGTGAGTAAAACAGTTAACGTCAGGCTTCGGGAAGGACTCGCCGTTCGCAGCGGGCAATGACTCGGCGCTCGCTCGCGCAGCGGGCCCCTATTTACTTGCGCGTTCCTGCCGTCCTCAGGTCGCGGGGTGCTTCGTTGTCGACGAGGTGCTGCCTATGTCCCGCCGTCCTGGTCGAGCCGCCATCCGCGTACATGAAGAATAAACCGTCCATCGAGGAAGAGGAAAGAACTATCTTAGAACCTGGAAAAAGGGAGGGCATGGAGATGAAGTGCTGGGGAGAGAGAGGGAAGACGAGGTGCGAAGTACAAGAAATGCCAGGCGCGGCGCAACCCGA